CAAACTGTGCTCTTGCGTGGAGCCTGGCCTGCACACCTCACTCCTCAGAAGCTCCTCCCCCATCTCTGACCCATGGGGTCATGATCTGAGAAACTATCCTCCCCCCCCCCCACGACTGGCGAAGTGCCAGGCACCTTCTCTGGGGTCCTTCATCTCCCACAGATGAGGCCCACCCCTCAATCATCCCAGCGGTCCCCACGGACTTTCCAAATGTCCCCCAGTCATGTCCACCTCACCTCCAGGACCATCCCTGACTCCTCACCTGCTCACCTGCCTTCCCTCCCTCAACTTTGCTCTGTGCCCTCAGTTTACCCCCCTCCCCAGCCCCTCTCCCCGCCAGACACCTCAACTCTCCCTCCTCGCCCCTCCTTTCTCCCAGGCACTCAGTCAACCATCTCTGGTTCCTCACCTGACAGTGGCAGTTTTTCCCTCCCCTCTTTCAGCATCCTCCACGTGGGACTCGCTCAGCTCTCTCCCTTCATCCCCATTTCGTCCCCTCTTACTGGGAATGGACCTCCATTGCTGCCTGCCCGCTGTTGCTCAGACTGGACCTGGGTGGCTTCCTGGACTCTTGCTTCTTGGGAGTGGGGAAGGTGAAGCGTTCACAGTGTGATCCAGAGGTGACATTTGAGAAGTTCTGCTGGGGGAGGGGGATGCAAAGACTAAGGTGTCCTATTGGCTCTGTCCCCAGGCTGTGCCTCAAATCCGACCCTTTCTCCCCAGCACCCTGTTCCAGGCCTCCATCACCTCTCACCTGGACTTACTGTGGAATCCATCTCCCCAGTCTCCTGGCTCCCTCTCAAATCTTCCCACAGCCAGAGGGTTCCTGAGAACATATAGGTCAGGGGGAAACCCTCCTCTGCCTAGAACCTTCCATTGCTCCCAGTCGACTCCGATTAAAAACCAGTTCTCCCTGAAGCACATCAGGCCAGCACGAATAGCCCACTACCTCCCTACCCTCACCTCTCTCTCCTTTGGCCCTCACTCCCTCCCCCCAGCCACACAGGCCCTCTCATTGATCCTTTGAACACCCAACGTGTTTCCACCTCAGGACCTTTACACGGGCTGTTCTCTCTGCCTGGAACCCCCTTCCCCACCACCCCCAATCTCCCCAGGACTCATTTTAAGTCTTTATCCAAATACCACCTTCTTGGTGAGCTCTTCCCTGACCACCTCTATCTAAAACTGCAGCCATCACCATGTTCTGTGTCTTGCTTAACTTTCTTCCATAGCACTGATCATCCTCTAACACCCTATACCTTTTAATTGTCTGGTTTCTCGTCTATCTTTCTGATTAGAATGTCAGCCCCAAGAACAGAGAAACCTGTCTGCCTTATTCACTGCTGTGTTCCCAGCAGCTAGCATAATGCAGGGTGCACAGTAGGTGCTCAACACATGCTTGGTGACTGAATGCATTGCCTTGCCCCCGCCAATGACAGCAGTTGGAATTAATCCCCACCCACACATATCCTCCCAGCTCAATTCTGAGACCTCTTTACCTGCCTTTTCACTTGAGCGGAGGTACATGGGACAGGATGGGGCTCCGGCAGAGCCCCAGGTGGGGGTACGGGAAGCCTCCAGGAGAGCCGGGGCACACAGAACTCCATCCCACCCACCCCTCAAGGCTTGGACAGTTCACCATCCATTCCCCTAGCACCCTGCTCACTTTTCAGGGCTATTTCCATTATGCTTTCTGTGCCTGCCTTACCCACTGAACAGGAATGCCCCTGAGAGGAACTCCAGTCTTACCGGCAAGACGCTAGGGCATTCTCAACATCTAGCCCCCAGCCACTAAAGGCTGTAAGGGATCCTCTGTGTTTGAGGAGTAAACGGAAGGAATGAATACACTAACTGCATGAGAAGCCCCTCTCGTACATGCTGGCCTAGTGGGCTCTAGGTAAATCTGGGCTGGGGGTACCTGGTGGGCAGTGGAGGTCTGAGCATTTTTCCTGAGACCAGGAATGTGTTTCATTACCAACCCCAACCCCTGCGCTGCCCTCACGTGGGTTCTAAGGCTCTGCTCCCCTCCACCCCATTTCCGCACCTCTGGCACACGGACCTAAGGACCACGAAGAAGCAGGACACCCACGACTGAGGGAGCCAGCTCTGAGGTAGAGGACTCAGAGGATCGGGGACAGAGGAAGGTGGAGGAACGCAGCACCCAAGTCGGTCAGCACTGGAGCTCTACACACGTGGACACAGGAGGAGGGTAGAGGGCACAGGTGAGCAGAGCTATTCACGTCTGAGGTCAGGGTGCCCCAAGTGCTAGATGAGCAGAATGGAGGGCCTCCAAGACGCCGGGAGATCCGTACGTGGGGTGTCCTAGGCGCGGGCCACCGGGTGTGAGGGTTTTCTGGCACAGGTACAGAGAAAAGTGGATGTCCAGGCGCCGGATGCACAGGACGTTGGGTATCCAAGACGCGGGGCACGCTGAGCGTGAGAATCCCGAGGCACAGGTAGGATGCGCAAAGAGAGAAGCGCCTTGGGAGTAGGGCGTCCTGGGCGCGGGTACGGACACGCGCGGTGCTGGGCGCCGGGAGCTGGGGCGAGACTGCGCGCGCGCGGACGCGTTAGTTTCTGGAGCCCGGCTGCTGGCGCGGCCTCCACTGCGGCTGCGCAGCCGAGGGTCTTCGGGGAGAAGCGCTGGGGCTCTTTCGCGCCCCCAGCCTCTACTCATCCTTCGCCTCCTGAGCCCCTCGCCTGCGAGGCCTAAAAACCGCGATAGAATGGAGGCTAGTGAAACCGATCCTGGCCACAACACGGGGCGCTCTGCTGACCACGGGCTTTGGGGGAAAAGAGGAGGGTTTGGGGGAGGGGGGTCCTGGCCAGGATTTTTCCAAACTGAGTCGGGGGTTCCTTAAAGCATGATATTCCTCTCCCTCGTATAAATTAAAGACACCGCTTCTCATAGCGACTGAAGAACGCAAGTTAGTACCGTCCCCCAGGCACATTCATTGGTTCCGAGGGTCCCTTCATAGAGCAGGAGGGTGGGCTACTCAGGGCTGGACGGCGGGGTGGTGGGAGGACTAGGAGCCACGGGGCTCTGGAGATGCTCAGCCGTCCCTGAGCTGCACGTTTTTCCCCCTTTCAATCCTGCCAGGTTTATAGAAGGCTGGCTGTGTGGATGTGGGAGGAGGGTTCCTGGTTGCCCCCTGTGGTACCACCCCCTCTCCCCAGCACCCCTAAAGCCTTTCATGGATCCTACCAGGTGCTGCGGAGATATTTCAAAGTGGGAAACTGACGCGTGGAGAAGCCGAACCTCCCCCATTCTCCCATCCTGGTACTGCACCAACCATAGATGGATGGGACCCCCTCCGCAGCCACCAACCTCCACTTCATACATATTTGGTCCCTTAGATCCAGCCGATAGCCCTGGCCATCCATATTTAAGGCCCAAGGTCTACAACCACGGAACCCTGGGTGTGAAGGCAGAATGAAGCTAGCCCACCTACTGTCTCCACCCCTGAAGTCTGCCGGCTGGATCTGGCCCCAGTTCCAGGCTATGAGAATCCCTGCCCAGTCCTGAAATGATGGTCGCCCACAGAAGCAGGTGGAGGGTGGTAGAGCTATCCACGTCTGGTTACCTGGTCAGCATGGAAGTCTGGCTTCTCTGCATGCTCAGTAACTCAGTCCTGTTCGGCTCTGCGACCCCATGGACTGTATGGCTGTGTCCATGGAATTTTCCAGGCAAGAATACTGGAGTGGGTTGTCATTCCCTTCTCCAGGGTATCTTCCTGACCCAGGGATCCAACTGGCATCTCTAGCATCTCCTGCACTGGCAGGTGGGTTCTTTACCACTGTACCACCTGGGGAGTCTCTGCTTTTCCCTAAATTCAGGCTTCTGGGAAGGGATTCTTAGAGGACAGGTTCATTCATTTGCAGATGTTCCTCTTAGGGTTTCTTAGATTTTTATAGTTCCCCTCTAAGCCTGCCCCAAGTTTTGTCTATTTATCACCCCAACCCTTTCCACTGCTACTTCCACGCTGTTTCCCAATTCCTCATCCATTCTGCAGATCCAAGTTGGAATGGCAATGCATTCTCTTCCCTGGATATGGAGACCAGGGTTTGCCATCTTCCTCATCCTCAGCACATCCCCTTCCTCTATAATCCAGGTCCGGACTTGTCTGCCTCACTCTCCCCACTATTGCCTGCTCTCTGTCTACCTGAGATTCAGCCCGGACTTTGGCCGGTGTGCTAATTAGACCTCCACTGGATGATTCCCTTCCCCGAGGATCCAAACCAGGGGTTTGCTCCTTCCCATCCATCAGTCTTCCCCTTGCACCCATCCTTCATAAAACGCCAGGCTTCCAGGTCCGCTCTCCCGAGATCCTCACCGGATCTTACCTCTCAGGACCTTCTAGTACCCGCCCCCCTCTAGTTTTTCCTCAGCCCCCACCCTGCACTGAGCTGTCTATTCTGCCAAAGTGCCTATTTTTGGCCTGGGGCCCGGTTTTATAGCCCCCACTGTGGGCCTTGGCAGTCATAGCTCTGGCTCCAGGGATTCATGCCAAGTCGGACTGCTTTCCCCAGCCAGGGAGATGGGGTGCGGGGCTCCCTTCTGCAGCTTCAGCATGAAGCCAGCCCCAGGCCTCACTCGGCCAGATGCCTAGGAACCCGCTGGTTCCTTGTCCTACTTCAAGTCCACCAGCTGCAGTATAGTTGCTCAGCTGCGGAAATCCATATCGAGTTTTTGCTCTTGCCGAAAACCTAAAATTCATTTTCTCTTGTCGCCTTCCCACCACCACCCAAAGCAAGACCTTTGAGGCGTTTATAGATACTAACCTCCCCCAAACACCCACCCTCTCCGGTGCGACCCGGTCAGTTGCCAGTCCTTGACCAGTTGCCACAGATCTTTAGCTAGGGTCTTGTCCCATCCCGTATACTCCAGTCCTGGCTTTGCGGTCCTCCCTTGCCTTATATTGTAGGTCTGGTCTCCCAGGGTAGCGGCCTCCTCATTGCATTCCCTTCGCATCGTCCCTGGATCCTGAAACCGCTTTTACCTGCCTGCTTCGTGCAGCCGGCGCTCCAGATCCTTTCGTGCCCGAGTCCAGCCCTCCTTTTGCCCCTCCTTCTTGCACGTCGCTGCCAGGAAGACGAGGGCAGTCCACGCCGCCTCAGCCACTAAATAGCCCCCTCCCGGAGCCCCCTGCGAGCCCAGGTCTGGGAGCTCTAGGCCAGGTCTTACTTGTTCCCACTGCATTAGGCATGACGCATTACTCCGTCTCCCGAGGAAGAATCCGGCCCGAAATTTGCGTGCCCGGGGTGCATTTGGCCCTGTCGCAGTTGCCTTCGTTCCTCCCATCTCTGTCTAATCCAACCCGGGTTTTGCAGACCCCTTCCAGATCGCTCCCATTTCTCCCCTCACCGGGCAAAGCTCCTTTACTCCACTACCTGCAAAATCCGCTCCGGGTCTTCCTCGAGCCTGTCTCCCCTCCCCCACTTCCCGTTCCAACGCGGGGATCCAGCATATCTCCTTCCCTCTCCCGGTTTTTCCATAAGGGCTAGAGGTGGGGGTCGAAGGGGAGGAAAGTCCATCCCGGGTTTTCGGACCGGCCTCCGGTGCGCTTGGGCAGGTTGCAGCGGCCGGTCCCGGGCGGCGGCTCCGGGCCGGGTTTTGCGCGTGCCCGCCGCCCCCCTCCCGGAGCGGGTGCGCCGGGGAGAGGGGCGAACAGGCGGCTTGTCATTGCTGGTGCCCGGCGCCCGCTCGGTCCGCGCGTCCTGCGGTGCCCACGGGCCCGGCCCGGCACCCCCCTCGCCCGCCTACAACCGCGCCACCCCCCAGCAAGCTCCGCGCCGCCCGCCCCCTACCCGAGCCCCCCGTGGCCACTGCGGGGAGCCCGAGCCGTCGGCGCGGGAGTTGTCGGCGCTGCGGCGCCCCCGCCCCGCCGTCTGCCGAGGAGGCCCCGGCGAATGGGGCCTCGTGGGCCCCGGAGCGGCGCCGCCGGGCGGCGGGGGGCTGCAGGGGCTTCCTAGCTGCCCCGTTAACCCCTCGGCTACCGCCGTCGGAGGGGGCTGGGAAGTCGCCTGGGCGCACACGTGCCGCCTCCGTCGGGGCCGCGGAGCTGCGGGGAAGATGCGGGCAGCTGTTGGCGCCGCCTCGGGGGGCTCCGCCTCGCCCCAGCCCCCGGAGCTCTGACGCCGCCCCCGCCCCGCCGCCTCCGCCGCCTCCCTCCCCGGGAGGGGCGCGGACGCTCGCCCCCAGCCCCGAGTCTCTGCCGCCGCGAGGGGGCCGCCTTTGGAGCTGTGTAATCCGCTTCTTTTTTTTTTTTTTTTTTTAATTTTTGGTTGGTGACAGCGGTTCTGGGCCCCGCCACCCCTCCCCCGATTTCCCCCTTATCCCGGCTCCGGGAGATGTGCCGGGCGGGGGTCCTGGGTTCGCGGAGCCGCAGGAGAGACGCGCAAGGCCGACCCCGGAGCGGCGCTGGACAGGTGAGTGTCTGAGGACCCCGGGTGAGGGGGACGCCGTACCTGGGCCAGGTGTGGGGGCCGAGGTAGGGAGGATGGGAGCCCGGGCCTGTCCGGGCCAGGAAGGGGGAGGGGATGCTGGAGCCGCGGGTCACAGCACCTGAGCGCGAGGGGGATGGAGGGCGGCCTGCACCTCACCCCACCGGTGAGGGGGCCGGGAGGGGCAGCCTCCGTCGACTGTCGGGGTGCGGATGCGCGGCCGCGGGGTGCCCGTGGGGGGAGGGGACCGCAAGTGTGCCCGCGCGTGGCTGCGTGTGCCCGCGCGCGCGCCAGCCTTTGTGGGGAAGCGGCGCGGCAGTGCCTGCGTGTCCCCGGTGCGTGTGCGCGCGGGTGCTTGGCGCCCTGTTTGTGTAGGTGTCTGGGTGTGAGCGGAGAGGGTGCGTGTGCGCGCCGCGCGCCGGCCCCAGCTCCCGGAGGAGCCGTGTCGGGGGCTGGCACCCCACGAAGCCGGGCTGGGGGGTTGTTTTTCTCTGGGAGGCAGAGGCGCGGGGGATGGGGAGGGGTCTGTCTGGGTGTCTGGCGAGCTGTAGCCGTCGACAGCATCTTCCCTCCGCGGTACCCGGTTAAGCCTGGGAAGCTGTTGGGTTTCATCCACCCGGATTCGGGCTTTGAGGGCCAGCGCTCCCACTCTCCCAGGTGTTCGCCGAGTAGAGCTTGGGGTTTCAATTGTCATCTTTCCATCTGCCTGGGACGGGAGTCGGTGCCAGAAGAGCCTGGGCAGCGCTGTGTGTGTGCTCCCGCCTTGGCCAAAAAGTGGCCCCACAGGCACACCGCCCCCCGCCAGCACACAGCCCTCACACACACCCCCGGCCCTAACCTTCCAGTCTCGGTCAGCACCCAGCCCCATGCCTGCCCGGCCCCTCACTGTCCCTTCCTCGCGGTCCGCTCCTCCCTCCCCCACCTCTCCACCCCCGCCCCCCGCACGCACACACAGCATGGCAGCTGAGTGGGTGTCCCTCCATCGCAGCCTTGAGACGGGGCCCCCTTTCCTCCTGGTTCCTGCAGGACCCGGGGCCTGGGTTCCTCTGCCCACATCCCAACATGTGGGGAGCGGGGGGAGGGGTTCAAGATGGCTGCCAAGATGGCTGGTTGCCTTTCCGCCTCTCTCTTTTTCTCTGCCTCTCTCTCCCTCTCTGCTTGCCCTGTTCTCTTCGCTGCTACAGGAGTCATCGATGAGAGGGGTTTGGACAGTCTGGGGGACAGATATGGGGGACACTTGAGAGTAGATGTCTGCTCATGGCTGGTGGATCTCAATCCTGCTTGGGCGACAGGCGGGTGATCCCTGCTCCCCACTCCAAGCACCCAAGGGCCGGGCGGGAACCTGTAACCTGACCCGAGACCCCAACTCCTTCACCCCCCCGGGCCTAACAGCCTGGGAGCTGCCCGCCCTCCACCTGGCCTCCTAGGCCTGGCACCCTGAATGGGTCATCAGGGTGTCCCACGGAGGGCCCCCCATCTCTCATTGCCTCCATCTGCCTGGTGGCCAGGGACTGGGCACTCTCCACGGGGCCTGGGTCAGGCCCCAGCTGTGGGGGCAGGTGACTTCTCCTTCCTCCCCATTCCCCCACCCCCAAATTCTAATGCCGATTTTATTACTTAAAAGTAGGATGAAAACAGGGAGAATAAGAGAAGGAATACAACCTTCATTATCATATCGAGAAAATTATCCGTGATTTTCCTAACTAGTAATTTGCCTGCCATGCCGTTCAGAACTGACTTGCCCATTAATTACAGAGATGAAAAATCATCTGGAAAGCGGAAAAGGGAACTAATTCGATCCCTGGCTGGCAGCAAGGGCCCCCATGCACCAAGCCACATACGTGTGTGCTCGCATGTGAGTGCCCGGCCTCCCCACTGGCCTTGCCACCTTCTTCCTCCTCTCCCTCAGGGCCTCAGCTCACCCCATATTTGTCACTCCTGCTCTCCTTGGGGGTGCCCGTCCCAAGCCCCTGATTGCTGCCCTTGGGCGTGGAGAGGATGCCCAGGCTTGGGGGAGGGCAGGGAGCTGGGCACCAGCTGCACCTGGGCCGTGGGGCCTGCAGGGAGGAGGTGGAAGGCAGGAGACTGGCAGCCTGGTTTCTATTCCCAGCCTTCCCTGGGGAGCCCCTTCTCCTGGGAGGTGGGCCATAGGGGGAGAGCTGGGGGGGGGGGCATGGCCCCTCTGGAGTCTGTTTGCATCAAGCCGTCTGGTCCTGGCTTGGGCATCACCTGTATGGGGGAGGCTGACTGGAGAGAGCGTGGTGCTTCAGCCCCAGCCTGGGCATCGGGGTGGGGGTGCCAACCCCAGGAGGCTGTGCTGCCTGGCCCCAGAGGGGGTGCCCCTGATGGAGAACAGGAGGAGCGGTCTCCCCGCTGTCCCCGTCCCAGCCCCTGCTGGCCACAGGGAGCTGAAGTTGTCAGTCACTGCCCCCTCCTACCTCTCCAGCCAGACCCAGACGTGTGACCAAGGACACACAGAAGGCTCTGATTTCTGTGTGGGCTCCTCGCAAGGATTCAATTTCCAGACGCCAGACAGTTCCCCTCCTCCAGACCCTCCAGGGAGGTGAGGAGGGGATGATGCTCCAGAGATGGGAGTTCCCTGGGTCCAGAACTGTACCTGACTGCACCAGCGCCCCTCCCAGCCCTGGGCTCAGCCACCCTGATGAAAGAGGAAGCAGGGTCCCAGGTGGGAGGGGAGGCTGCGGAACAGAGTCCTGGGAGCGGGTCCCACCGCCCTGAGAATCCAGGCTGCTGTGACCTGTGGTACCTGTGCTGTGATTAGGATGGTAACCTGGACTAGCTTGCATGTGGCCATGTGTCCGACAGGCTGGTCCCGTGTTCATAACAGTCTCCTGGGTGCTAGTGTTTGTGTTTTGCAGAGGGAATGTGTGTGTGTTTCCATGTGTCAGGAGCTGTCTGCATCTTGTGTGCACCTGCAAGTGTGTGCATGTGTGGCTCCTGGGAGCAAAGCTGGGCAGACCTCTTCATGAAACCCGTGAATATTTGCCAAGTGTCTTTTTCACTCGGCGCTGTGCCAGGGACGCCATAGGGACAGTACCCCAGTCCTGTCCTCAGGGAGCTCACAGTCTAGTGACGCGAGCAATTTCAGTCAAGGGACTTCTGTCATAAGATTTGGGGAAAAGGCATATATCTCCCCATCCAGAATGCCCAGAGTCCCAGCTGGGGAGGGGCAGCCCCTTCATCTTGGCACCCGGAGCATGGGGTGTCCCAGGGTCCAGACCTTCGTGATTTTCCCTGTCACCCCTTCCACCTCGCCCCCTCTCTCCTCACTGCTCCTAGGCATGCAGTTCAACCACAGGCCCTTTGCACTGGCGGCTCCTTCGCCCGGGCCCCTCCCCTGACACACGCAAAGCTTTTGCTGCCTCACCCACATCGGATGTCCCCTCCTCAGTAACCTTTATTTACCCCATGCAACCTGTTTAAAATTGCAGCCTCCCACCCGCCTCCTGACTTTTCCCTAGCAAGAATGACTTTTCGCACATTCTATAATTTACTGATTTATTGTGTTTGTTCGTTTATTGTCTGTCTTCCCTGACCAGGACCCAAGCTCTTGGGGAATTTGTTCCTGGTTTGCTTTTAGACGCCAGGTTCCTAGACTCAGGCCGGGCCCACAGTAGGCGCTTGAGAACTCTTAGCTGAGTGAATGGAGGAGGGGGGCACCTCTCAAAGGACAGAGGCCCCAAGGGACTCCCCTTCCCTGGCTTTGCACATTGAGGGGT